CAACAACAGTTACCAGACACCTTTTGAGGCATTGTATGGCAGACCTTTTAGATCTCCAGTTTATTGGACCAAGGTAGGTGATACAGTCTCCTTGGGTTCCAATATTGTCTTTAAGACTACATAGAAGATTAAGTTGACTCGACAGTGGTTGGCTACAGCTCAAAGCAGGAAAAAGAGTTATGCTGACAAGAGGAGGAGTTCCTTGTCTTTTGAGGTAGAAGACCACGTCTTTCTTAAGATTTCTCCACGGAAGGGACTTCTGAGATTTCTGCAGATGGGCAAGTTGTCTCCTAAGCTCATTAGACCATTTCAGATTTTGGAGCACGTCGGTGAAGTTGCTTATCGTTTGGCATTGTCGCCAGACCTGGATAGGGTTCATGACGTCTTTTATGTCTCTATGTTGAGAAAGTACAAGCCGAATCCATCGTATGTTTATGGTGGACAGATGTTGTTGTTGATGAGAATGTGACCTACGAGGAGGGTCTAGTCCAGATTCTTGATTCACTGGAGCAGGTCTTTCGGACCAAGACTATTCCATTGGTTAAGGTCTTGTGGAGACATTACGGCGTTGAGGAGGCTACCTGGGAGGTTGAACAGGAGGTTCGCTCTCGGTATCCTAATTTGTTCTCTCTTTTAGGTACGACTTGATCTTGGGGACAAAATCTTTTTAAGGAGGGTAGGTTATAATGACTCGGTCATTTTCTTTCCTTTCTTTTTTTCGGTAATTTCTTTTTTTCGTCCTTTTCCTTATTTTGTTTTTTCCCCGTTTATCGTTTTTCTTTGCATAACCTCACTTTACGTGTTCAGATTTGATTCCGGCTTTGCATGCATCCATAATATTTGATTTCCAAGGTATTTGTTTTTTTACTTTTGTAGAAAATCATGCCAGTTGCTTACTTTTTTCATAAAGGGTATGGATGCATACTTTCTTGGAAACATTCTTAATTTTTGGGATTTTAGTGTAATTATGTAAAATAATTATTGATATTTTGGAAAAGGACCTTTTTGCAATTTTTGGAAAGTGTGACAAGTGTCACACTCTCATGGTGCCTCTTGTTGGCATTGGGGTGGAGTGACTTTGAAGCTTAATTTCTTGACATTTGGAGGGTGGAGATTCACCCACTTCTTGGCCTAGGATAGGTGCACTTGTTGGCTTGGATGGTTGATAAGTATAGGCTTAGAATTAAGTCTAGGAAGGAGCCATGGATTGATGACAAATGTAGGCACCAAATTGAGTCTTACATTGTGTGTATGTGAGAGGTAGTGCAAGAGCACCTAGTGAGTGGAGGTATACTAGATCCTCTACCTACCACATTTCATTTTTCTCATCTTCATTCCCTTTTGCTCTCATCCGAACCTAGCCTCCATTGAAGGAAAAACTTGGCTTAGAGATTTTGACTTCATTTTGGCCTCCTTCCACTCACCTTAGACCCTTAACCTTGGGAAGTAAAAGTTTCCTCTCACTCTCCTCCATAAAACCCTAGAATTGTTTTCCATTTTAAAGCTTGGTTGCTTGGATTATAGAGATTCAATTCTTTATTGAGGTAGGGGTGGTAGTATATTTATACTTTGAGTGTTTTATGATCCTTTATGGTTTAATATATATTGTGTATATGCCTTTAATATTGTAGTCTTACATATTATAGGAAATCCTCACATGTGACTTAGGATTTATTGTTTTAAGCATGTATGATATGTATTTACTTTGTGTAGAATTATTAATGTTATATACAATTCTTATTGACTTGAATTTCTATATTTATTGTGATGATAATTCTACATTCTTATTGATTGCTTTTAGTATATAAAGCTTATTGTTGAAGCATGATTTGATTGATAAGTTGGTGGTATAGTTTTATACATTATATCATGATGAGGACTTTTCATTTATTATGTTATTCTAGACTTGGAACCCTAAGACATGGTTTATGTGGTTTCAAATTACTTGTGCATGGAAGGTGGTTTACATGCCCAGATTTTTGCTCACTGTTTTGTCGTTCGGAGGTTAGAACATCAGAATGCCTGACCATGTAGGTCAGAACGTACGTCATAACGTCAAAACGCCATAACGTCAGAATGCCTGACCATGTAAGTCAGAACGTCAGAACGTCCGAACGCCTGACAGGTCATAATGTCTGATTGTTGTATATAAGTTTTGAACTTAATCATGATTGTGGATTCTCTTAGGACATTATTACAATTCATATGGCTAGAGTTTGGCTCTAGTGCAGGAGGTACTAGTTCTCCCCATTTAGTATAGTGCGCACTAGGGTGGTATTTCCATTGGGTTAATGCCCTAAATAACCGTTTAGATCTTGGTTTACTCCGAGATTTGATGTCTAAGTTTTCCCACTATTTGGTTTCGCATTCAATTCCAAGTTGACAACCAATGCTTAATTGTGACTTGTAATTTTGGTCATTGGCGATTTGATATTGTTTAGTACATCCATATTGATGTTGTATTGTTAAAGAATCATTTAAGTTAGCTTAAGATGATCCCTTAGAACACTTTGAACATAGATGTTAAGTGGAATGATCCCTTGTATTCTTATATATTGATCTTGCAATGGTATTGAAACTTTAGAGTATACACATATACTTCTTCCTACGAGTAACTTAATTACTCACCCTAATTGTTTGGGTTATTTTACAAGTAAAGAGACAATGTTCTCGGATGCTCATCATCCTTAGAGGCTTTTGAGCACTTTGGAATATTTTTGTGTATTGACATGCAAATGTTTAGCATGCTTACTTTTGATGTTATATTTTTGCATACCATGGATGTATGGTATTTTAGAAGCTAAGATGGTTTCTTTGATATATAATGTGTATCTAAGAATGCTTGAAGATGCCTATTTTGTATGTATGACATGAGGGTGAGGGCCATTAATTTTAAAGTTCACATAAGTATGTTTTTAAACTTGTTTTGGGTCAATTGGAATGCATGTATAGCTTAAAGGTTAGCCTTAAATTTGTTTTCTGTTATTGTTTGGCTGTCTTCTTGTTCCTGTTTTGTCGTTCAGAGGTCAGAACGTCAGAATTCCTGACTATGTAAGTCTGAAGGCTTGACTATGTAAGTCCGAAGCGTCAAAACGTCCGAACGCTTGACCATGTAGGTCAGAATGCTGAACATGTAGGTCCGAACGCCTGACCATGTAGGTCTGGACGCCCGAAGGCTTGACTATGTAAGTCCGAAGGCTTGACCATGTAGGTCCGGACGCCCGAAGGCTTGACTATGTAAGTCCGAAGCATCAGAACGTCAGAACGTCCAAACGCTTGACCATGTAGGTCAGAATGCTAAACATGTAGGTCCGAATGCCTGACCATGTAGGTCAGAATGTCCGACGTCTTGACCATGTAAGTCTGAAGTGTCAGAACGTCCGAACGCTTGACTATGTAGGTTAGAACGTCCGAAGGCTTGACCATGTAGGTCAGAATGTCTGAAGGCTTGACCATGTAAGTTTGAAGGCTTCACTATGCAAGTCCGAAGTGTCAGAACGTCCGGACGCTTGACCATGAAGGTCAGATCGCCTGACCATGTAGGTCAGAACGTTCGAACGCCTGACCATATAGGTTAAAACGTCCAAACGCCTGACCATGTAGGTCAGAACGACCGACCATGTATGAGTGTCGAACGGGTGCTCAATGTTGAGTGTCGAATGGGTGCTCAGAACCTTTCTTTTCTTTTGCTTTGCTCATATTTCGCTTTCACATTTCGGACCCATTATTGGGTCATCTTTTGTTCGTCACTGACGCACCAGGTTTAGAAAACTTGGGCCGTCCCAGTAATGTAGTTAATGGGGGTTTTGTGTTGTTGTGTGTAATTAGTGTATGTGTTGGTTAGTGCATAATGGTTTCTTCAGTGCTGTTGGCTATTTTGGGGTTATAGGTGGGTTAGTTTGTTTCCGTACAGGAGTAAATGGTGGTTTCAGGTGATTGGGTAGGGGATTTTTGACTGAGGGGAGGTTATGGTGGTTGATGTTATTTTGGCTATTGGTTATGTTTTGGGAATAAGGGTGAGCAGGTGTTTTCTGTTGTTGATGATTGGGTGGGATAGTCTTCAGTTTGCAATGATGAGATTGTGGAGGTTTGGTTGGACTGATCTTTTATTTGTATGGATGTTTGTAGGTTTGATGAGGATGAGGATGGGGAAAGGGGAGGTAGGAGGAGAGAGCTGGTTTGGCCATTTCGATTTCTATATGAGTGAGAAAAAAAACGCACTTCCAAATCATTGCATACCTGAAAATCACACGTCTCATTACTAGGTGCATATAACCCTCCTCAAACTCCGTGATGGTGGGAGTTTCGTGCACTGGGTTGTCTTTTTTTTTTTTTTTTTTAGAGAAGATGAAATCACTAGGTCATTATAGTGAGATGAAACTAGGTCAACCCACGAAGCACTTAATATATATTTTTGTACGTAGTAGTAGGGATTTTGCTGGTGTTCTTAATGGCAAGGTCTTGATTGCATTCATTTAATTACTTGATGAATTCTTATTTTTGTCTATCTCAACGTATAATTGGTGGACTCTTGAGTAGAATATTGAGGGAAAATTGATTTCATTAGATTCTTTAAAAGTCATTCCTGAGTTTAAGGAGTACTTAGCTAGACTGAAAAAATTAAGGGGACAAAGACCATATGACGCTTTAGGAATTGGCCAGTTAAGTGTACTTGTTTTGAAATATGAATTAAAATATATATTAAAGTACATTTAAAGAATCACTACCATCTTGCAGTTTGTTCATTTTTTAAGCAAAACTGTACGAAGTTCCTCCATTGAAGCAATGAGAGATGTACTATAGCATTATCTCTTTGTAGTTTGTTTTCATTAATTTTGCAGCATACAGAGGAATTCCATTGGGAAGTGTCGGATATGGAAGAATTGAGCGACAAGAAAGACATAGAGAGGGTACTGGAGTCGGAAGAAATTCAGGACGTGGATGATGGCGAATGTGAGGTGGTTTCAAAGAGAAGCCAATATTTAGAATGGACAAAGCAGATCACAGTACGGGGAGTGATCGCTAGCACAGTGATTGGGAGCATTTACAGTGTGGTGTTGATGAGACTGAGCCTCACAACTGGGGTAGTTCCCAATCTCAACATCTCCACTGCATTTCTTGCATATGTGTTCATCGGTACATGGACAAAATTTCTTCACAAGGCCGGAATTGTCTCGATTCCATTCACTAGACAGGAAAATGTCATGATTCAAACTTGTGCAGTTGCAATTATTAGCATTGCTGTTGGAGGTACGTTACGTTTGAGCTAATTTGATCTAAATCTTTCTTTTCAAGTTTTTTCATCAACTTTATAAATTTCTTCTCCTTCTCTGTATATATATAATATTTGTTGGACTTTAATTAGGGGGATTTGGTACTTATCTTTTGGCATTAAACAAGAAGATATATGAGCAGACCGGGGTTGACACAGAAGGAAATTCTCCAGATAGCTACAAGGAACCCGGGATTGGATGGATGATGAGTTTTCTTTTCCTTGGTTGTTTTGTTGGTCTTTTTGTATTAATTCCTCTCAGAAAGGTATTTGACTTCTTATTCTTAATTTTTTTTTGATTAAATTTCTCATTCCTCTTGTCATGGTTCTCTTTAATTCAGATATAATACTGTAAATTAATCAACTTGCTTATAACAATTAATTAAAGCAAATTTAAATTAGTTTCATCACCAATGAGATGTTCTTCAGCATTCCAATATTAAAATGGAGGCATTGTATAAATACTTGCGCGCGCGCGCGCACACATGCTGAAGTAGGTTAGACTATGCAATTAGTTTTTGTTTCCCAATTAGTAGTACGTAAAAGTACATCTTCTGAGCACTGAAGCTCTTAAAATAGTGTTTGATGGAGTTGTGTGAATGGTCCACAGATCTTGATAATCGACTACAAGTTGACTTTTCCAAGTGGGATGGCAACTGCAGTTCTCATTAATGGAATGCATACCCGAGGAAACAATATGGCTAAGTAATACTACTACTTAATCCATTTTTTTTTAACATCCAGTAGTAATGTTACATGTATATATATATATATATATCTATTTATCACAATAAAATCAATCAGGGCTAGAATTATAAACTACTCCATATGTTGTAATGAAATATAATTTGGTGCAGGAAGCAGGTACGCGGGTTCATCAAGTTCTTTTGTTATAGTTTCTTGTGGGGATTTTTCAAATGGTTTTACACTGGGAAAGAGGGTTGTGGATTCTCACAGTTCCCTACTTTTGGACTGCAAGCTTTGAAGAAAACGTACGTGTGTGTGTGTATATATAGTACTTCTGTATGTTTATATATAAACATGAAAAAGATTATATATTAATTGTGATTTACTTTGTGACATATTTATGCAGATTCTACTTCGATTTTAGCTTGACTTATGTGGGAACTGGAATGATTTGTTCCCACAATGTAAACTTTTCAGTGCTTCTTGGAGCTGTGCTTTCATGGGGTCTCATGTGGCCACTTATTGGTAAACTTAAAGGAGATTGGTTCCCTGCTAATTTACCTGCAGAAAGCAGCTTGAAGGGCTTGACTGGCTATAAGGTCACTCAATTAAACCACTCTTTTCCTCTCTAGATATATGTGTGTGTGTGTGTGTATTTGCATTTCCAAATTTTTTTTTTTTTAAAAAAAAAAATCATGAATTTCTTATTTACTTTCAAATTCTTGGCAGGTCTTTCTCTCAGTTGCCCTCATTCTAGGTGATGGGCTATACAACTTTGTCAAGATACTGTATTTCGCAATCAAAAATATTCATGGCACAATCAAACACAAGAGCCTCAACACAGGTGAGATAATAAAGCCTTTTTCCTTCACAACTTTGTCAGGATAATGTTTTGTAGTATATATAAACTTTTGTTCCCTGAGTTGATGAATTATTTTGTTTTGCTCAACTTTGTAACATTTCTTATATTTGCAGATGAGGGTAGCAAGAACAGTGATGATCTAAAAGAAGACCAATTCTTCATTAAAGAAAGAATTCCCATGTGGGTTGGGGCTGCCGGATACACCCTCCTCGCCATCATTTCCGTGATTGCGATTCCTTTCGTTTTCCCCGAGCTCAAATGGTACTATGTGGTTGTAGCCTACATTTTCGCTCCAGCTCTTGCCTTCTGCAATGCTTATGGAGCCGGTCTAACTGATATAAACATGGCCTATAATTATAGTAAGCTGGCTCTTTTTGTGCTAGCCTCGTTGGCTGGAAAAGAGCACGGCGTGGTGGCAGGCTTGGCTGGCTGTGGTCTCGTCAAATCTGTTGTTTCAGTTTCTTGCCTTCTGATGCAAGATCTGAAAACAGGCCATCTCACTCGAACATCCCCTCGTGCAATGCTTATGAGCCAGTCCATCGGGACAGCAATAGGATGTGTGGTGGCTACTCTAAGCTTCTTTCTGTTCTACAAGGCATTTGATGTGGGCAATCCAAATGGTGAATACAAGGCTCCTTATGCTGTGATCTATAGAAACATGGCGATTCTAGGCGTTCAAGGCCTCTCGGCTTTGCCACGCCATTGCTTGCAGCTCTGTTGTGGCTTCTTCGCCTTTGCAGTGGGAGTCAACCTCGTGAAAGATATTTCGCCTCAGAAGTTCGGGAAATGGATGCCATCGCCAATGGCCATGTCCGTGCCCTTTAATACAGGTGCCTTTTTTGCTATCGATTTGTGCGTGGGAAGTTTGGTTGTGCTTTTGTTGCAGAAACTCAATGCCATGAAGGCCGAGTTTATGGTTCCAGCAGTTGCTTCTGGGTTAATATGTGGTGAAGGTCTGTGGTATCTTCCTGCATCAGTTCTTGGGCTGACCAAAATAAAACCTCCCATTTGTATGAAATTCTTACCTTCTTAGACAAATCTCCATTACTAGCTATATATTGTTGTCTGTATGTGTAATAAGGTTCATGAAAACTATGCTAGCTTTTGTTCCAGGGAACAATATTTCTGTTGTCAGACAGAAGAGATCAACCATAATAATAAGTATGCATTGTCTGCCTTCTATCTCAATTTTGGTAAGCCTTTATTTTCTCAATTACAATCTATATATTTGTTTGAGTTTGAACGTACGTGACCATTATGGATTTATAAACCCTACAAATTCTTAGGCAGACTAAAATTATAATAACACTTAGGTACGTGGTTCCAACCAGATCTTCAAACCCAGAGTATAATAGAAGCTCCAAACTAGCGTTTGGAGAACTGAATCCATGTTTTGGATTTGGGATTGTGAGCAATTTAATTCAAAGTTGTAACTAAATTTCTTTCAATTTTAAATCCATGGTACTCTCAAACATAACATACAAGTACTCCGCTTGAATGTTTGGTTGCTTCCACTTGTTCTTACACACCCATGAAGATTTGATTCAATTTTCTAGGAAGTAATGGTTAGCAAAAACAGGAGATGATCAGTGAAAATTGCACACAGAAAAGCTTATACTTCACAATTCATCTTCTTCTTTCATGTTTCGATATTAAAATGTTCGACTTAGTCTTTTATCCGATTTTTGCTTAAATTAAATTTACCGAAATAAAAGTAAATTAATCAAACCAAAAAGCAAAAATAAATGCAAGTAAAGTTAGAGTGACACCGGATTTTAGCGAGTAAACCAATTGGAAAACCTCGAGGATTATTTTTGCGTTGTCCCAAGCGTAAACGATCCACTATGTTTAAAGTAAAGTATACCGAATTTTGACTCAAGCTCACACACCTTCACTCTACCAAGATCTAACTTGCTGAACACCCTTTGCTTTGCGACTCGCCCGTCCAACAGCTCTCGATATGGTAGATCAACAACACTCTGCATGCAAATGCCTTAACCCCTTCAAAGTGCGATCTAAACACCTTTCTTCTTCAAAACTAAATTTGTTGTAGAATGAATGAATTATGCTTTCTTTGATCGATATTGTAATAACCCAAACCCGGGGGTCCGAACCGTTACTTGGGTCCTTACCTGAACCTGAAGTCAACTAGGGGTAATACCATCATTTCACATCATTCAATGCGTCCCATGTCGTAGTGGTTCCATACTGTTCAAATAAATCCACATTGGATTGGTTAGGACACAATGCCACACTGCCAGGCTCAAGTTGAAGCCCTATAGTAATAAAGGGAAAATTGGTCTTCTCATGCTATACTGTCGGTCAACAAGTCCTTTACAAGTTCATTGGCCATGTACAAGTCCAATTGAGCAAACGAAAATGAAGTGACGGACCAAACCCGAAGGCATCCAAGGTGTACCCCTCAAAAGCCTTGCTAGCGCTCGCATGACACCGCTTGAGCGCTCGCAAGGTGTCATGCTTGCACTGTGCGCGCGTGAAGGAGGACCTGCGTGTGCTCCTTGGCAAGGTTCGAGCGCTCGGACCTACCTGTGAGTGCTCTATATTAGCTTTTGGCTACTGGACTTGGCGCTTGGGAAAAAAAATTGGGACTGCGAGTGTAATGTTTTCGATTTTTCTTTTTTTCCATTTTCTGGGAATTTTTTAATTTTTTAGAGTATTTTTGTATTCTTTCGTTTTGCGTGCCGAACACCGTGGGGTGTGCTGGGTATGTTTGAGTGTTGGTTAAGGCATTTTCTTGAGTTTAGGACTCTAGGAGATGCATTGGTTGCCATTTCGACATTTTTCTGTTTTTAAGACCGTGAGGTCCCGGGTGGGACTCGCTATTGGGGTTGTTGTGTACGGGAGTTGTGTCATGGGTCCATTGCATTCCATGCATTGTTATTTTGTGTATAATTAATTATTTAAATGCTTATGTGTGGTTGTGATTTATTTTGGATATATATATACATATATATAAATGAAAAAGGTGAGATTTTTATTTAAGTGGTGGGACCATCATTCTTTTTCTTTTAATGGCCAAAGGGTCATTTATCCCATCACTTCCTCTCTCTCATGTAATTTCTCTCTCCCTCTCCTTTCTCATTTTTCTTTTTCTTTTCTTCAAGTTTTGAGCCATAATCTCTCTCTTATCTTTGAGAATTTGATATTGCCGCTTAAGGCAAAGTCATAGAGGTCATTGAGGCTGTCATTTTGATCGGAGAAAATCTCCGTTTGGCCACACTTGGGATTTCAAAATTTTGGGGATTTAAATTTTTAGGGCTTTCTTCAATTGGTTGAGGTAGGGGTTTCTAATATACAATCTCTTTGGTTTTTGTTAGTCAATTCCTCAAAATTTGTGGTTTAGCATACTTAATTTGTGAAAATTTCATGCAATATTACTTAAATGTTGTGCAAAAGATATGACTATGTGTTATTTGGCATATGATGATGAAAAATGTTTAATTGATAATTTTATGCCCATTGTGCTCCAAGTGTTAAATTTTGCGATTTAGAAAGCATAAGATATATTTTAGAATTTTTGCAATGTGTATATATTGTTGAATGTTGACTTGAGGAGCAGGAATTTCTCTATTTGCATGGCATTGAAATATATGAGACATTCATGCATGACATTAGGTAAGAAAATGGGAAATGTGATTTGAAAAGGAAAGAAAATGGTTTTTGGAAAAAATGTTTTGAAAGAGGTTTGCGAAAACCCGGTCACCTAGGAGTTGCCTAGGGTCTGTGGTGTTAATGTGGCCTAGAGAGAACTAGGGGACGGCCCTAACGTGGTTGAGTTATCTGGGCCCAAATGACATTATGGAGTTACCATGGGTAAGGGACAGTTAGTCAATCCTTCTTTCGTACTGCCATAGAGTTGCTATGGAACGAGTTGCATTAACAGTTGGAAATGATGACGGATAAAGGTTTTGAAATGGGGAGCGAAATTGTAATGGTTGTAATTTATTTATATATGTGTATATTTGTGATGGAAAAGAAATTAAAAAGGTTAGATTTTTTTTGGTGATGGGACCACCGCTTAACCATTTTGTGGCCAAGAGACCATTTGGTCTCTCATTTTTCTCTTTGGCAACTCTCTTTTCCTCTCTCTTTAGTCACTTTTTTTCTTTTTCTTTTCTCAAGCTTTCAAGCTTGATTCAAGTCCAACCGTAGGGAGTTTTTGGTTGCCATTTGCGGCAAATCGATAAACTCGGCAAGACCTTTACATTGATGTAAGCAATTCCTTGTTTGGCCACCCATGGGGATTTCGAAAATCTAGGGAATTTGGAGGCTTTTTACATCCTTGGAGGTAAGGGTACTCTAATTCATATTTTCTTTGATCTTTTGTGAGTTTTTCCCTTTAATTTGATTCTAAGCTTGTTTGATTTTAACAATTTTGCCTATGTTGTTGTGGTTGTATGTAATTAAGGTGATGGATGTATTATATATGTTAATTAAACCAATTATTATGGTTATATACTTGGAGGTGAAGATACATGTTCAGTATTGACATTTTATGTGCCCATGATTTTTAATTGTTAAGAAAAGTGATGTTTAAATTATGAAAATAAATGTTAGGATTTCCCTTAATAATGTGATCATAATGTGGATGGAATGTATGGGATTTATTGTAAATATTTCTTGAGAAATTGCCATGATGCTAGATATATGATGTGTATCTTTATGTGGATTATGTGTAGATAATATATGTGTGTATAATTTGTTGACTGGATATGGAAAGTATGCTTTTGTGATTATGTCCTTGTTTAATATGTGTAATTGTAGAAATTTTGTTGACTTAAAGCATGCTATAAATTCATGAAAAAATTCATCTTTAGTATGGAATGTTGTTGAGGTTTGATGATGTGAAAATTATGGCAAATTGTGAAGCATGAAGCATTCATGCATCCATTGGGAAAGAAAAAGGGGAAAAGTATTTTTTTAAAATCAATAAAATTATTTTGGGAAAAAGTTTATGAAAAGTGTTTGTGAAAACCAGGACGCCTAGGAGGCGCCTAGTGGTTCATGGTGTTAGTGTGGTTTAGAGAGAGTACTAGGGAGAGACCCTAGTGTGGTTAAGCTAACCAGGCCGGATACGATGCCATAGAGGTGCCTTGTGGTCATGGGTGGTTAGCCAATCCCCCTTTCGTGATGCCTTGGAGGTGCCTTAGGTCGGATTACACTAACGGTTTGGAAGTTGAAACGGTATGATTTCGGAAACGGGGAGTGACATTGCATGGCAAGGCACATCATTAGCATACGTGGTGCATTTGGTATTTGGTTGAGATATGTATGTTTGTTGATGATACAGTGGTTTTACTTGACTCTTGAGATATGATCCCATTCTCTTGCTTTCTATTCTCTATGTGGATTCATGGGGTCATAAGAGGTGTGTCTTAGACACTTCCTACTGAGCGTTTAGCTCATCCCAATTTTTTAACATTTTTCTGGTCATGGGAAGGAAGTGGCGGACGACGTTCGTCCATAGGTTTTGATGGGTTAATGGACTGTTTGACATATTTTGTAACTATGATCTCATTTTATTATTATTATTATTATTATTATTATTATTTATAAACCCTGGGATGACACGTATATTATGTATTGATATAAGAAAGGACGGTAACGTTTTTAGTGGACCTCGGGTTTGGATAAGGACCCGGTTAGCGATTCGGACCCTTGGGTTTGGGTCATTATAGAAATTGCATACCATTGCATTTCATAGCATGGCATAGCTTGATGAGGATTTCTGTCACGACCCGAAAATTCTAATAAAATTCTCAATTTATACAAATCAAAATACACTGATTATCATGAAAAATACCCTCTTTTATACAAAGTCAATTTCCTCAAATACACTCAAAATTCTCCAACTAAATAAATAAATCCTGTAACGCGGACTCTTCCACCTAAGCCCGAATCTAGTAATCCCCATTCATCTTCGGTACTTGAAATTGGAGGGTGGTGAGACGGAAAGTCCAAGTAGGAAAAATCATAACAAGAATTTCATGGAGGTTTAACAAAACAGCTTCA